TCCCTGGACTTTGTGATCTGCCACACGTCCAGGCCTCTGCCTGTGCTGTCCACCATCCCCCTCCAGACAGTGCAGCCCTCAGCGAGGGAGACAAAGCAGTCTGAGCCAGCCCCAGGAATATGCCCCAGGACCCACAGGGTACTGCTGAATAAAGCAGCCACCAATGCATGACCCCTCTGTTCTGCCCCCCGAATTCTCCCAAAATATCCAACCCCTGGAGCTACTGCCAGCTTCCTGTGCTGGAAGAAATCCAGCCATTTTCACAGCTATGGGGACAGGGGTGAGTGGGCAGGGCAAGACATAGGAAATGACTGCTTCAGGCACACAAGATCTCCTTCTAGGGGGATGAACCTGTTCCTTCTAAAACTAAACAGAGGAGGTGGCTGCACCACGTCGCAAATGTACTAAATGCCACTGAATCGTTCACTTTAAAATAACTACTTGGGTTATGTGAATTTCACCTCAGGTTTTTTTTTCCCTCTAAACGGAGGTACTGGGGATTGAACCCAGGGCCTCATGTATGCTAAGCACGTGCTCTACCAATCAGCTATACCCTCCCTGCAACCTCAGTTTTTAAAAAGTAATTTCTGAGGGAAAACGGGACTGACTGACCACTTTGAGATCCTAAAGCTTAAAGAAATGGGGGGGGGGGAAACACAGCCAGTTGCAAAATATGTTATAAACACCATAAAGTTGCTGATAAATCTTAATTCCAAATAAACCCCTCAGTTATAAAACCTAAAGTAAAAATGAAAGGAAAAAGCGCCCCGGGCAATCCAGGTGGACTCTTTGACTCTCACTGCTACCTTGTCCTCTCGCCCCCAGGACCATTCTGCCAGATGTCACAGCCACGCCTTTGTCACTTACTTTCATAGGCTGATGGGTCCCTGGAGGCCCTCAGAGGGACTGGTCAAAATGAAAGAACATGCAGAGTAGGCAGCCCTGACCGAGGACTTTCTGCAGCCAGGCCCCCAGCGAGGCCCATCCCCTGCTGCAAGGGCCAGGACTTGACTGTCTCACATCTCCTGACTCCCTGGCACCTGGGACAATCTGCCCTCCAAATGTTTGTTGAATGAATGGACAAATGAATGAATGAACAAACACGCTGTCCCAACACGATGGGAAAGACAACTTGGGCTATTTCCCTTCTACCTCTAGTCTTTTTGATGCTGGTCACTAGCTGGAGGGGGGAAGGGGAGCCGCCCCCTCTGGTAAGAAAGGAAATATCACATCAGAAATGTAACAATGTCCAAGCAAGGACATTTCAGGAATCACACTGTATACTTTGTTCCTTCAGGAATGGGCATTCTGGGAGAAGATGAGATTTCTCCAAGTGGGAACAGAATGTGCTGACTTTCTTTGTGATCTCTGTTACAGACTAGCCCAGGACACCAAAACTGAATTAGATGGGTTACATGGGACCTGATGAAACAGTGACTGTGAGTATTACATAATGGCTTAAAACATTTATCAGCTGATTGGGAGGATTCTGGGGAGCACACAGCATCCAAAGCTTCTATTTGTTAAAAGGTACAGTGTATTTCTAAGCTGGTAAGGGGGAGGGTGGACATGGGATGAAAGTATTCCAAAAGTATTTCCCTCTTATCTTCCCAGCGCCCTTGACATTTTTAAATAAGGGGGTTTGCCTGCATTTCCTGACACCCATCAGAAGGTTTGGTTTCTTGATTATTGTCCTCGTAACTTTCACTTGTTCATTTACTCAGCGAAAGTCTGCTGAGGCCTCTGGGGTACCAGGCCCCAGCTGGAAGGAGACAGTAGAGAAACCTTCACGTCCTGGACATTCACATTCCAGAGGTGTGGGGCTGTGACAGGGAAACACCTGGGAGCAATGGGGGCAGAGGAAGGAGCAACTGGTTGCTTGCTAGAAGCAGGGCAAGAACATCAGAGTTGGGTCTTGATGTCTACGTAAGAGTTTACCAGGGAGAATCAGAGTACAAAGTGTATCTTGGGCATCTGTTAATGTCCTCACTCATTCAACAAAGTTTTCCTTAGACCTTTGTGCCAGGCCTTATGATGGGTGCTAGAGACATGACGGATGTCAGACGTGGATTTGGACCCCAGGGAGCCCCGATTTAATGTTATTCAAGTCTTAACCACAATCCATCCCAGCAGTTCTCAACTGAGGTGGATTCTGCCTCCAAGGGGACATTTGACAGTGTCCAGAGACATTCTGGTTTGCATACCAAGAAACTGAAGCACGAAGTAATAGCAAACACCTAAGTAGCACTTAATACAAGCCAGGGGCTGATTTAAACAGCCATCAATTCATGTAATTCCCAAAGCATCCCCGCGAAGTCCCAGTAGCCAGGTCCCCAAGGATCCCCATCACCTGGTATTCACGCCCCTTAAACACTCACCAGGATTGACTTCTGTACTAAACAGAATGTGACAGAAGTAATGATATGTGACTCCCAAGATTTGATCATAAAAAGCTTGGTGGCCTCCTCTTTTGCTCTCCTTGCTGGATCACTCAGCCAGCTGCCAAGTTGGGAGGACACTTGGGCAGCCTCGTGGGGAGGCCCTGTGGCTAACAGCAGTTTCACAAGAGACCCTGAGCCAGAACCATCCATGGAAGCTACCCCTGAATTCCTTCCTTACAGAAACGGCCCAAGGTGATTAATGTCTGTTATTTTAAGCTGGTATGTTTTGTTTGTTTGTTTGGGGGGGAGGGAGGTAATTAGGTTTATTTATTTATTTATTTATTTTTGGAGGAGGTACTGGGGATTGAATCCAAGACCTTGCGTATGCTAAGCATGCCCTCTACCACTTGAGCTATACCCTCCCTCTACAAGCCACTATGTTTTAATCCGTTACACAACAGTGGATATGTAATAAGATAAATGTAAACACCATTAAAGTTCCCCTTTTATTTTTGTTTTTATTTGGGGGGGTTAATTAGGTTTATTTATTTATTTAACAAAGTTACTGGGGAATGAACCCAGGACCTCCTGCATGTTAGGTATGCACTCTACCACTGAGCTATACCCTCCCCCAAAGTTCCCCTTTTAGAGATAAGTTATATTAGACACAGAGAGGACAGGGATTTCTGGGTCTGGGAGTTCTGTTGTGGAACAGCCCTGCTGTGGCCCAGGCTGCCGGCATCAGGAAGAGGCTGCAATGTGAACTATCAAAGCTCACTCCATAGATAAACAACCAAGTCCTACTGTATAGCACAGAGAAGTAATTTAATACCTTGTAATAAACTATAATAAAAAATATGAAAAAGAATACGTGTATATATAATGTATATACATGATTCAATCATTATGCTGTACACCAAAACTAACAATATTGTAAATCAACTATACTTAAACTAAAAAAAAAAAAAAAGAAGCACTCCGGCTTCAATGTGCCTGTCTGATAAAGGAGGACTAGAGGAGAAATCAGAAACGACAGACAAAAAGAGAGCAGGACGTGGGGTGACTGGAGTTCCACA